CTTGGGCAAGTGTGAGCCGAAGCCTTTACTCCTTTTTTTAGTATTTATAAAGAGAGCACAGTGACATGATCGTGTGTAAGACGTGGAAACCCTGTTGCATATGCATTCTTTTTGTTAAATTTCCTTTCTCAAGGTGCAAAATATAGGTTTCAGAATATTTAAGTCAAGCGCTTCAAATAAATGTTTGCAACATGCAATTTATTTTCAGTTAATTGCAGTGACGCCAAAAAAAGCATGTCTTATTTTTTTTGCTCTTGATATTGAAATTAATCGACTGCCCATGTCTTTAGAAAACAGCTAAACCTCTGTAAATCACCCATAAATCTAACCACACCTATGAGGGCTGTTTGGGGATTGCACTTACATGCCACTTTCTGGCCCTAAATGTTAGCAATAAGTGCCAGTTAGCTCAGCACCTTGACGTTAGCCTGAAATTTTAGCCCGATGCTCAGTTGTAGTGCCCAGAATACACTAAACTGTGGGATGCTGGTGGTTGCTCCCTTCATGTCCTTCCAAACCATTTCTGTTGGATTAATCCCAAGACTCAACTTGGCCTTTGCAAAGCACAATATTTATTCATCTTTGGCCATTCTTTAGCAGAACAACATTTGTTGTTTAGAAGTTAACGTTTGAGAAATCCCAGAGTGGATCTGACACCTTGCTTATACAGTGCTTTTGTTGGTTGGTAACAGTGTGTCTGACTGTGGAGTGGAAAGTATTTCTAGATGATTTTTCCAGGCTGCATAAACAGCATTTTTCCAGAGGACCTCAGAAATGTGTCATCAAAAATATTTTTTGAGGATAAGTCTTTAAAAGATACATTTTCTTTACATAAAACAGGGCATTCGCTTATCCCTTTCACTGAAAACATCCAGCTCTGATTTTACTTTTCAGTTTACTGCTAATCGTTGATGTTTATATTATCTTCGTTACAGATGTGTATTATCAGATCATTTACCTCAATAATTAAATCTGAAAGTACAATAAATACCTTTCCGTTGTATAACTGGGTTCTCTTTAGCTACTTGAAAGTCTGATTCAGTTTTAAGCTATATGTGTGCGCTTATATCTTGTATAAGACGACTCAAAGGGACCAATGGAAGCTGGCCATTTTTAAACTTTACTCCTTTGTAATGATCACTCTCAACATTAGCCACAACATCCTCTTACAGCTGGCTCTCAAGCAGCTTAACTAAAACATTTGGATTTGAGGGTCATTCACACATCACAAGTTAATGATCAGATGACATTTTGCTGTTGCTTTCACTTTCTAAATTGCTGGGAAGTTAAATTATGTGACCTCTGTCAGGGTTTTGCATTTCATCTGGCCAGTAACCATGTTGTACTCGATGTAGGAACAAGATGAGGAACAGTAAGCACGAATGACCTTCAGTTCAGGTCAGTTGTATTCCCATTCTCGGCCCCCTCCCCCACTCTGGCTTTATCACTACTTCCTCTTGTACAGTGGCTACCAGCTGACTTGACGCCTTGTTGTGGGAGGAGATTAGAAACATTGACATGATTCATTTCTTGAACTCATGCATTGAAGCAAAGCTCTCAGTTGGTAGCATGTACAGTCATGTAGGTATTTTTTGTTTGTTTTCCCCAGTGGAGAAAAGATGGATGTGGTTGATTCTTACATGTTGCGTTGTAAAACATGTCTGAATCTAAAACACTAAGGTTTTAGATTCCGAAAATTTAAAAGCGACACGCACCATGTGACAGTCTCCCACGTCCTAACGAGGACAAGAGCTACATGTTTGATGTAGTACAGAGCATCTGGAAAGTATTTACAGCGTTTTACTTGTCCCACAATTTGTCAGCCTTAATCCAAATAGATTAATTTCATTTTACCTTCAAAACTCCTCCTCAAACAAATACCCCATATTGACAAAGTGAAATTTATTAAAAATGAAAAACAAAAATCGATAAATCTGCATTGGAGGGTTTTTTTGTTTTGTCTGTATTATTGTAGGGTTTTTTACGTTACCATATAAATTGCCTTGAGGGATCTGTTGTTGTGAGTTGGTATTGTATAAATAAAATTTAACTGAATCGAACATTGCATGTTGAAGCACAAACCAAGCCGTGAAATCCAAGGAATTCTCTGTAAACCTCAGAGACAGGATTGTATCAAGGGACAGATCTAAGGAAAAAGAAAGGCAGCACATTGGCCTCCATCATTAGTAAATGGAAGACGTTTCGAACCATTAGGACCCCTCCTACAGCTGGCCACCTGGCCAATCTG